TGCATAAAATTTGGAGGACCCCATTTGGATTTTTATTCAGTACCTTTAAGCTATCAATTAAATATGGTAGTTTCATAGTGTCATCTGATCAATAATTGTCATACTTAATGATTATGCAAGTACAGATCTATAATTTTATTATACTATTATTTTTGTTCTCATTTGAGGTTAATATTGTTTATAAACCTAGATATGTAAATAATAAATTTTATTATTTTACAAAAAGTTTGGCAACAATGTAAATTTTTCAACACACCCACCTTGATGACGTGCACGCCACTTTGTTTGGCGTTGACTATACTTAAAATATACATCTTATCGACTTATCCAAATCTCGTTAACACAAACCGTGCTGTCCAGTACGCATCTATCAGTAAATGAGAAACCTTTATCAAAGTTGTATAGGTTTCCAAATATTTAAAAAACAAGTTTAAAATGTATTTTTGGTACTATGTGTGTTTGAATGGAGACATTTTTGGAAAATTGCATGAAAAGCACATTCAGTAGCTAGCAGACATTGGCTCCTATATGATATGCCGCTTTATATCAGAAGTAGCAATTCGACGAAAAGTGCTTTTACTATAATAAATATGCACCCAATCAAATTTATCAAAACATTATGTGAGACAGAATATCGTGTAAAGATCAACATGTCGGTGGTCTGTCTTCAAATGCAGCGACTGACCAAAATATTAAAAGAAATGGTATTGCAAGACAGATATACAGGATGGCGCATTTACTGGCAGCACAGTTTTTTTTTAAAAGACGCTCAGACCCGTCGATTTTGTTTTCGAGGGGAACACAAGTTTGGCAAAAAACCACGTTAGCACGTGCAGCCCCCTAAGCGGGGGTGACACCACCCCCAAAATCTTAAATGGAAAGGGGGGTCGAGTGATACCTTATTTTAAAGGTCTTTTATTCCCTTTATAATGATATAAAATTAATGTACTTCAGTTCAGTAGTTTTCAAGATTTATTGATTTAAAGCTTAAATAAAACTAATACATCATCATTAGTGGAGATCAATACATTTGGCAGCAAAATAATTTAAAAATGAAGAATGAACTGACCCGTTAGGCAAGTAAATGTTGAAAATGGCCACCATGACTCTCCATGCAATAATAAAGATTTTGCTCAAAACGTTGCCGCACATTCAAAATTCTTTGTCGCAGGTCTTCTAATGATGTTGGCATAAAGAAATCCAAAGGTGATAAATCTGGCGATCTTGGGGGCCATTCAATGGTACCTCTTCTACCAATCCATCTGGAAGCGTCTGATCTAAATATTGTCGAACACGTAATGCGTAATGTGGTGGGGCACCATCCAGTTGGAACATCAACCTATTCGCAATGTACCGCCGATCATTCTGATTTTCAATTATGGCTGTTAATGCAGGATCTATGGCGTCGTAATTCCAAATACATTTCACCGGTCAAATTTCCAGGTAAGAAAAAAGGACCAACTAAATGATCGCCAAAAATACCAGCCCAAACATTTAATTTTTGTGGCTGCTGTGTATGAACCTCATGATAAATTCTGGGTTTAGAATTGGACCAATATCGGCAGTTATAACGATATACTACGCTATTTAAGAAATAGGAACATTCGTCGGAAAAGCAAGTGTTGAATAGAAAATGTTCATCGTTTATAATTCGTTCACTCATATCTTCACAAAATTGTAATCGCCGATCAAAATCGTCTTCATTAAGTTCTTGTACCAAGTGAATTTTATACGGATGCAAAACTAAGGGCCTTTAGAATCCGTTGGACAGTACGTTGACTAACACCACACACAGTCTCCAATTTGCGGGTACTTAACGTAGAATCTACATAAACTTGCCCTAAAACCCCGACTTCTATTGCTTCGTTCCTTATGGGATTTTCAATGTTGCGTTTTTTATTGGCGACTGACCCAGTTTTTCCGTAATTTAGCTACAGGTTCTAGAACATATTTTCGATGCACGTTACTGTTCTCATGTCGCTCATTAAATATTTCTGCTGTTCTATTAGCGCCCGATTATTTCCGAAAAATATTTCGATAATTTCAACTCTTTCTGCTGTGGAATACACCATGGTTAATTTATGTAATAAGGCGTTACAAGTTATTTTAGCAACAAAGTTTGGTCAAATCAATCGCAAACTATGTACTAAATTGCTATTTAAAATAAATACGAGATATTTCCTTATCTTTCTTCAAGAAATAACTTTCTTGCCACAAAAAATGCTCCAATAGCTATTTTCAACAACAAAATGATAATCAAACCATGGGCGTAGTGAAGAAAAGCACTTACTTATTAAGTAAATTCTTTTAGTCAAATTTCTTCTGAAAGTAGTAGAAACTAATCTGATGTACCTATTAAAGTCTACTTTAAGCTTTAAATCAATAAATCTTCAAAACTACTGAACTGAAGTACATTAACTTTATATCATTTTAAATGGAATTGAATGATCTTTAAAATAAGGTATCACTCGACCCCCCTTTCCATTTAAGATTTTAGGGTTGGTGTCATCCCCGCCCAGGGGGCTGCACGTGTTAACGTGATTTTTTGCCAAACTTGTGTCCCCCTCGAAAACAAAATCGACGGGTCTGAGCGTTTTTCCAAAAAAAAACTGAGCTGCCAGTAAATGCGTCTGTTTCGTTTTCGATTCGCCACCCTGTATAGTATTATAGAGATCTTTTATGCAAACTCAATCTCAAAATTGTGAGATACTCTCGAACAGAATCGTCAAGGGAGGTGATGTGCTGTTTTATCATGCACGTAAATTCCTGTGCGGCTACCCTTTACCAAGTAGGTTTTCAATTAGTAGATTGCCAACCGCATTCGCCCATACGAACCACCAGTATCCAAAGTTGAAATAAAATTTGCGAGAAAATAAATTTACAAATGAGCAACAAGTGATAGCCGGTTAAACAAGGGCATTGATGTTAAAGGGGGAAGCTTAGGGACACATCAACTCCAACTCTTTGTGCATTTACGGAGGCACTAAAAGTAGGTATTTGGGCACAAGGTATGGACTGTCAGAGGGCTTGGTGCTAGGACCGTTTTCATTCAGTCATTAGTTTGACACGACGTTATTATATAAACATAATTCGTGGCACAGTCTGAAAGTTTTATCAGAAACAGATTTTACGAAAATAGTTGAATATTCTAATAGCAAGAAGCTCTCATAAATTGGCACGAAACATATTTTTTCACCATTTACTTCTCATGATTCCTACATGTCACAATATCAATAATTTTGTGATAGAATCTGAAAGTAGCGTGAAGTATTCAGTTTTTGTACTAGACAACCATCTTAGATGTTTTGGTTTGTCAGCCAGGTGGTTTGAAGAATACGAAGTTTAGTTCCAAAACTCAAATTATACTTTACTATGTTCAGCTCAGACATTCCTATTTTTTTTTATTTTGCCTTAGCTCAATCCCATCCCATTTATAACATTCTTGCATGGGGTGGCCTTGCAAGTATACAGGGTACCAATAAGTACCACGACAAACTTAAGGAGAAGGTAGGCTTTGAATCGACCTCCCAAATAACAAAAACTTACCTATATAAAAGTGTCACCGTTTTTGACATATTGAATTTTATCTTAAATTTTAAAAGAACGAACCTTCATCTGTGGTCTTTATCTGTGGTGAAACAAAAATGTACTGGGTTATAAATGCATTATATTGAATTAAAAGATTGCCCATTGAATGCAGATTTCAGAAAGGCACCAAATGTACTATTTGGAATAGAAAAAAGTGTAGCTGCTTTTGTAAGTGACTGACATGTACTACAATGTAATTATTGGATTTAAATTCAAGTTGCACTGGCTACAGATCAGTGACATGCTAAATTTTGCTTTTTAGTCCATGGGCTTGAAATTTTTTTTCTGTCAGGCCATCAGATAGTCCGTTTAGGATCTTTTTGTCATCGATCACTGTATCTCGGCTACCGTGCTCGCACAGAGATTTTAAGATATTTCTGAAAACTGGTATAAATTTCCTATGAGATTTGATTGCAGTCTTATAGGCTTTTTTTGTTTCTAACAGGAAAACAATTTTCAAGCCCATGGACTAAAAAGAATAGGCCTAAAAATTTGTAAAAAGTGTTTCTTGCGCTATCTGTTAGAATTACATAAAAAACCGTTGCTCCTAAAAATCTTTGGCGAAAAACACAAAACCAGAATCTCAAAGCTTTAGAGTGCTTTTGTTAAAGTCTAGATACAACCGAAATAGAACCTGTCAAAAATCACTGAAATTAGAATTTTTTCTGGCTCCCTGATTTTTTGAGTATTTTTTGTATTACACAAAGATGCCAGTTTTTATCGTAAATCGTTATATTAACCGATTGCGGACAATTTTACGGAATACGTATGCTTGTTTTTTATCATACATTTTCAAATTACCGATTATGGATCATCTTACCGATTTTATGACCAATATTGTGAACCGATTTTTGTCGAATTGTTTTTAAGTGTGTGAACCATTTTATAGTGGAATACCTGAGTGACAGTTATTTTACATAAATTAGTGACCCACTGGAAATTACAAAAATACAACTATATTTAATCCACAGTAGATCAAGCCCCATGCACAGGCTTTCTGTTTTGTATTCATATGGCCATATTATCGTTATTTTTGGTAAGTACTCTTTACTTTTACTTTTTAAATTCGTACTTTTTAAGAAATGCTCAAAAGATACTTTTTTGTTTTTAAAAAAACTGTCTCTACGTCCTGCTGTTTTTTTAATCACATATACGTAAAATATCGAATATTCATGCTAATGTTTTTGATTTGGCGCAAATTTTTCGATCAAGGCAAAGCAATTCCCGGAGTTTTCTCCTATAAGATGGCATTCTTCAACCAGTTCTATTACTCTACAAAAGAAAACCACATGCCTACAACCATATTGCATAAAACGTCACCAACAACATATGGTTTGCTCGACTACATATAATACACGACTATCGCCTATCACCTATGATACCGCCTTCGTGAAAGCATCCACATCACTCACCATCTGCGAACGAAGCTGCAGCAGCTAGCAGGAAGCAGCACGGCAGCAGGATGGAGGATGTCATAGCCGCCTCTGACGCAGATACGCACTAAAAGACTGACTGGGGCGCGTCGCAAGCCAGTTCGCAGGTTTTAAAGAAAGGCCTCCTTCGACTTCGACGACGTCGTCGTTGTCGTTACGTTCTCTTGTTTCTACCAGTGGCGACGGTGTTATTGTTGGCCTTGCTTGATGGGTGAGTCTCATAGTCCAAGGGCCTGAGTGATATTAAAAAAAAATTGCACAAAACCTCGTTCAACGATCCTAAGAATCAGGAGAAGAATCTGAAGCTATATTTTTAGCTGTCGGGCATATGCAGAGTCAACCTACTTGACGGGGCGATGAAATGGTATCTCAGGAGCGCGACGACTTATGGTTTTCATTTTTCTTTTTGTCAAAACCTTGACCTATCTACAATAGTGAGACCGAGTATACGACAAACACGTTTTTTACTGGGAAATACCCGCGTTGACGTTGTGGGATGAAAAGGAGAACCCGTCAATTACGACGGATATCTTGAGGCCAGAGATAAGGTCAGGCAACCATTCTGCAAAGCTTTTCTGGGAGGCCATAGAATGGAAGTTTGTCGAAGAGGGCAGCGTGCCACAGCATGATCGAACGCTTTTGTGATGTCAAGGGCAACGACATGAGCCTTACCATAAGACTGGATGAGTTTACTCCACAATTTCGTGACGTAAACTAGGAGGTGCCCTGTGGATCGCTGGTACCGGAAACCATACTGCCTGTCACTAAGCAAGCTGTGGCGTTCGAGATAATCCAGAAGCTCGCGACTTATGCACCCCTCCATTAAGGGTCGGTCTTAGATGGTTTTTTTGAGATAGGTTGGACATGAGCAAATTTCCAGTTATCTGGGAAGGTGCCGGATTCATAAGATATCTGGAAGAGGCGCGAAAGAACTGGAGCAAGCTCCGCTGCACACCTCTTCAGTACACTGGCAGGAATCAAGTCCGGACCAGAAGCTTTGTTGATGTCGAGCGACAAAAGCACTCGTCCTACGGTCTTATGCCTGAATGTTACCTCCCGCATAGTGTAGGAAACCGTTTGAATTGACGGCACTTGGGCGTTGGATGGGGGGACGTCCATGGTGGAGTTGGCAGCAAAGATCTTGACAAGCACTTCCGCCTTGGTCTTTGAGTTGGATGCAATCGTTCCATCCTGACATCTAAGTGGTGGAAGGCTACGTTGTGAGAAGTTCTTTTTCGATCTGTTTGACCAGCGTTCAGAAAGACCGACTGCCAATGCGCTGCGACATTACCATGTGCCTAACTTTTATATTGTGCTGGTTTTTGGTATTGCGAACCGCTTCGTTATATTTGTTTCTGGACTCGACGCCGGCTTGTCTGTTCTCTACAGTGGGGCTTTGTAAAAAGGTTCTGTGTGCCTTGATCTTCTGCTGGCGAGCAGTGTCACACGATTCATTAAACCAGCCGTTGGACCCTGTTTTAGGCACTTTCACTGTATGAGGGATGAATTCCTCCATTCCGACTAGGATAATTTCGGTTATCGAAGAACAGACAGCCGACGCATCCGCGTCAGTGAAACAGACATCTCTCCAAGGAAAGGTAGAGAAAAAGTCTCTGAGCCCCTCCCAGTGGGCATGTCCGTAATGGCAAATTTTGCGGCCTGTGCGAGTTTCCGCTACGACAGCCAGTTCTGACCGAAACCTAACCTCCACAACACCGCGGTGTGAGTTACCCAGGGGAGACAGGGCAGCAGTACAGGATGCGTGGTCAGAAAGAGATCCAGCAGGCTACTGGCATGTGACAAGACGCGGGGGAAAAAAGTAGGGCTCGTCACCAGCTGGGTCAGCCCTTGAATAAGAGCGAACGCTTCAACTGCAGGAACTGGTTCATCGGTCTTGTTTGAGCCCAACCAAAGCTCATTATGCGCATTGAAATCACCGAGGAGGACTACCTCTGAAGCAGGGTGATTGATGTCCAGGAAGTCGATCTTGACGGCGAGGTACTCAAGAAGATCATCCCATGTCCTTCCGGTCTGATTCCAAATAAACATCTCTGGAGCAGGAAATACTACTGCGGACAAAAGCCACAACTCCCCCGTTCTTTCTCAGATTGGAGTGCACCTCGTAATTTGGGAAGCTAAGATGGTTGATCGGTGCAGACTCTGAGATTTTTGCTGTTATTCACGCATATGTTCGCGGATCAAATTTTATCTTCGATGTTGTTCCCTCGACTCCACCCTCCACCCGGACATTCCGAGAGTGGAGTGAGTTTACGTCCGGAATTCTTAGTAGTCGAGAGATCCATCATCATTTATTTCTTTGTCTTGGAAGATAACCGACTGCATAGCTTAGGTGAGAAAACATGGGGACATTTATAAGACACCCTGGGAAAAGCTAGCGGGTGGTACCGCCTCGGTCGACTGGATCTTGTCTACCACCTTCTTTTTGCAATTGCAGTTAAAAAATCGCACAAAATTATTATTTAAAATTTTTGGTATACAGTATTTTAAACACATTCCATTAAAGATCTGAAGCCTGCTGCTCCCCTAGGTTCCGAGGTTTCCGGGTTTGTACGTCGAGGGGACCTCAACTATACAAAATATAGCGGGAGTATCTTCTGATTTTATAGTCAGTCTATTAGTATAAAGTTATTATTTATTATAACTTTACTAATTGTGAGCAAAATTTATATAGTAAAAAAATATCCAGTATATTCCTAAAAATTGTTCCATAAGCTTTGCCGCCTCCTGAACTAACGGGGAGATCAGTTTTTTAAATCATTTAAGTAAACGACCTCCCAGGCCATCATGTAGGTGTTTAGTTTTACGATTGGAAGGACCCCGCACTCTTGCATATCTTCTTATCTGCGTTGGACTATTTATTCATGCAGAAAATCAGAAATTAAAACCATGTTCATGATGTACAAACAATCAGATACAATAATAATTCCGCGACGCCCTCCACTAGTAGTGGCAGCTGTTTAACGAACTGTGATTTAGTAACTGATATTGGATAATGGAAGTTCTGTTCAATTACCCACCGTTGAATCTAGTAGTCAGAGCAGCTTGGCCTTTTTGAATCCTGTCAACGGTCACACTGCCGTTTTAGTCGCTTTGGAAAGGAAGGACCCCGTCCTCCTGAACAGGCGTGACCTGATCACCCCTAAATGTCGCTTTAACCGCAAGTTTAATGTGAACCCCCAGAATGTTAAGGAGATGATGGGACTCGAGGCTATACTCAACTTAGCTACAAGGGCGGAGCTTCAGGTTTAGGGAATATAGGGATGCATAAAGGCCCGCAGGGGTATCACGTAACTTGAAAAGTGACCTGCCGATTTTGTTTTTGCCATTATGCTGGTTTTTTGTTGACATTGTGTAGGTTATTCTACAAGATATTAACTTAGCACTTAGTTGTACGTGTTGCCTAACCGTCATGAGGCTTGTTAACAATCTTTGGCTCAGATGTGATGTAAAATCTGCTTCTGAGATGACATTACTGGAGGTCTAAGCTGTAAGTTGTATGTGTTGATGATAATTCAATTTTTTTTTTGTCTCAAATACAGTTAATTGAGATTCAAAGCTAGAAATTAGTTGCGCATCCACTTTTACTTATCCATTCTGGAAATTACATATACAAATTTGCTGAATTTCAAAAATGAGAGAGATAAGAAATAATTATAATCACCGTACACTGTCAAATTACAAGCGAATATACATATACAGTAATTACACACAACGCGGGCGCGGTGATGATTTCCCGTAATTATCCTCAGTTATTCGTAATTTAGAGCTTTGAACATAACCTCTCTTCAGAAAGCACAACGTATAAATAACCCGTCATATTCGGCATATTCTGTAATGATTTTCTCACACAGCAAATATCACTGATTTTATACACATGCAGACCAATACACATAATCATCCAGATGCGATCTTGCTATTCAACCAACTTTCTTCTCAGAGATAAAAACTACAGACACGGATCACTCAGCCTCCCAAAACTATGCAACCAATAATGCGTAGTTTAGTTGAGTGATTCCTCCATAGATGAACGTTCACAACGATCCTAGTGAGCAAACGTGGAATGACTGTTTGCACCCTAAAAACTATCTAAAGTATATTCAGATAAGAGATAGACCGGACATAAACAAGACCACGTGATCATCGAACGCTGTAACATTCGGCAGGGACGTATAAGAGTCACGCAGTACATATTTTAGATAGTAGATGCTGCTTTGCGTAACTTTCTAGTAAATTAGCACAATTCGATGTGTATACGATTGGTGATGGATATAGGATCATGTGGGGGTGGGGTAAGAAATATATAATGATGTAAATATACATAAGGGTTTCAAAATTTTCGCTTCGATTTCCAGCTTCGGATGCCCCCTGATGTTTGGTGAAATACAGTCGAATATAATCTCAAAATGGCGTTTAAATTAGCCTAAATTAAAAATAATCGTATATCTCTTAAAATTGCTTTTAGAATATTGATTAGTATATTTTTTGATTTCTAGGTAAATATGTAACCAAATTAAAACGTTCAAAACGTAAAAAAATGTGCATGGTTGAACATTGTCAGAAAGTAGATTCTTGAATAGGTTTTGCCAAAATGGGTTCAAAAATGTCAATAATTAATTAAAAAATACAGTAGCTTTATAATTACTTATAACTTACCGAATTTGTTGAACGACATCTTTTATTGGAAAGATGAGCTTGATGAGCTTTCATCATCGCTACTGCCTGAAGCACCAACGTCAATAATGAATGGCTCGACTTGTTCCTCTAAAATATTGTCCAGTTCCCACATTCTCTTTTCAACTTTGTCTTTCACGTGCTTAATACAGTTTTCCCATTTTTGCGCTGTTATTAATTCTAGTGCTTCTTTGAAAAGTCCTTTGAGGTCACAAAATTTAAAAGTTGTATTGTGCTTAGCTATATAATTTTTAACCTCTGCCCATATGAGCTCAATGGGATTGAGCTCGCAATGGTATGGAGGTAAACGGAGCACAGTTTTATTTTGACTTGCTGCCATTTCGTCAATGGCGTATTTTTGATATTCCGCCTTGTGATCCTTGACAATTCTTAATAATTGTACTTTCAGCATTGCTTCTTCAAAGTTGATATTTTTCGAGCGGAGCCAATTTTGAACATCAACTTT